GAGAGAAGATAAGTGTTTTATTGTTATACTTCTATTTAGTGGCAAAGTGGTGACTTCAGCCCAGGTCTTCTGACTCCTAGAACTTTCTCCTGCCCCATTAATTTCCATAAAGAGAATGGTTGATGCTTCCTTCCTTCTTCTTTTGATGTTCCTTTATGTATTGCCTACTTCTTTTCATAACTTCTGTTTATTCTCACTTAATCCCTTGAATTTGGGTCCTTAGATTTTTTTTGAACACCTGCATGCCATGACCTTTAAGGACAAATATCGATAGAACATTAGAGATTCAGGGAATCTGGCCTTCTGCCAGGCTCCAAATCCACATAATAGCTTCATATCCTCTCATGTCCACCCTTTGCTACAGGATTTACTCTCTTCTACTATTCTGCAAAAGAGAAAGGCTCAGATAATTGACCAGCACTGTACCACTGAACATATAGCTATCCATTCTCTTGTCACAAAAATAATGATAAAGAGTTCAACCTCCAACTACTCAGTAAATATTGGGAGTATAATCTCATCTATCATCATGGTCTCAGCCCTCCTTCTCCTTCTTCCTGATTCTTTCCAAGAGTTTTGTTGTCTTCCACCATTATACTCAAACATAGACATCTATAGGATCATTTTTAAAATTTTTTTTAATGTTTATTTATTTATTTTGAGAGAGAGAGAATCCCAAACAGGCTCCACACTCAGCACGGAGCCCAGCGTAGGGCTCAATCTCACAACCATGAGCTAATGACTTGAGTTGAAATTAAGAGTCAGAGGGGCGCCTGGGTGGCTCAGTTGGTTAAGTGTCCGACTTTGGCTCAGGTCATGATCCTACAGTCTGTGGGTTCGAGCCCCGCATCAGGTTCTGTGCTGATAGCCTGGAGCCTGCTTCAGATTCTGTCTCCCTCTCTCTCTGACCCTCCCCCACTCGCTTTCATCTCTGTCTCTCAAAATAAAGACATAAAAAATTAAAATAAAAAAAGAATCTATAAGAGTCAGATACCTAACTGACTGAGCTACCCACGTGCCCCAGAAGTCCACAGAATCTTAATGATGTATGAGATCATGTTGTTAAGAGTAGCAGTCATCCATCCAGATGGCCAACAGACACATGAAACGATGCTCAGCATCCCTCCTCATCAGGGAAATACAAATCAAAACCACACTGAGATACCACCTCACGCCAGTCAGAGTGGCTAAAATGAGCAAATCAGAGAACTCTAGATGCTGGCGAGGATGTGGAGAAACGGGCACCCTCCTACACTGTTGGTGGGAATGTAAACTGGTACAGCCCCTCTGGAAAACAGTGTGGAGGTTCCTCAGGAAACTAACAATAGAACTCCCCTATGACCCAGCAATAGCACTGCTAGGAATTTACCCAAGGGATACAGAAATGCTGAGGCATAGGAGCACGTGTACCCCAATGTTCATAGCAGCACTCTCCACAATAGCTAAAACATGGAAAGAGCCTAAGTGTCCATCAACGGACGAATGGATCAAGAAGATGTGGTTTATCTATACCATGGAATACTACATGGCAATGAGAAACAATGAAATCTGGCCATGTGTAGCAACATGGATGGACCTTGAGGGTGTTATGCTGAGCGAAATAAGTCAGGCAGAGAAGGACAAATATCATATGTTTGCACGTATAGGAGGATTAGGAGGAACTTGACGGAGGAACAAGGGGGAGAAGAAGGGGGGAAATGGTGGGGGAAAGGGAGAGAGGCAAACCATGAGAGACTCTTGAATGCTGACAAAAACTGAGGACTGATGGATGTGGGGGGGAGGGGGGATGGGCATGGAGGAGGGCACTTGTGGGGATGAGCCCTGAGTGTTATGTGGAAACTAATTTGACAATAAACTATTTGGAAAAAAAAAAAAAAAGAGTAGCAGTCATCCATCTTCAACTTGACTTCCCGGGGATGGTAACTCACAACCATTCGTGTACATAAGCATGTATTTGGGGGAAAATATTGGATTAATCACAACTTTTAGATGATAAAACATAAATTACAAAAGCCTTACAGGCAGTGAACTGTATCAGTGTCAATTTCCTGGTTACGATATTGTACAAGGCAAGATGTTACCATTGGAGAAAAGGGTATATGAGACCTCTGTGTTACCTCTTAAAAGTGCATGTGAATCTACAATTATCTCAAAATGAAAAGCTTAAAATTTATTGAGGTAAGAGGACATTCATGAGCAGCCTTCTTTTTCCAAGACCTTCAAACTGTCATAACGCTGGGAAGGGGATGCCCAAGCGAAAACTGCTGTCTTATCAGAATCTACCGTGCTGGCCTTTGGAAGTGGTATAAAAATGTCACAGAAGCCAACAGATAAATAGCAATCTGGAAATAGAGAGGGGGTTGAGAATATGAATTTTTATTTTAGCACCAAATATAGTCATGGTGTTTGCAGGATTGATGTTAGTATAGATTCCACCTTCTGTCTGCTGCCATCATCCCAGATAGCCACCGGATAGCAAGATCTGGTGCGGTGTTTTCGTTTTTTGCTTTTTGTTTCCCACAAGAATTATTTAAATCTATGTACCTGGCTGGTTATAGTTCCTGTTTCCAGAGCTAAATCAAACATGTTGTCCTTGTTTTCACTCCATCTCTTTTCTAGTCTTCTGGCTTTCCTTTCCTTTCCCAGGATTTTATAAGATCATTGACTCCACTGACGGAAGTCAGGCTTCTGATCGCCTAATAAATAAGTTCACCAGTGAAGAGCCTACTTTTCCTTCTGTTTAATTACAGGCTTCAGAGACACTCAAAATGGAGGGTGTCCTAGGGACAAATAATACTGTAGGCTTGGTTTACTTATCTCCTGTTGGCATTGGCACCAAGCCCTTCCTCTGCTTTGAAATTCATGGTCGTGTCTGTGGCTGCATACTAAACAGACTGAGGCCACCACACAGCCTGCTTAGCCTGTCCAGATGCAGTTCAACTAATCTAGATACCTTAATGGCCAGCTCATACCAGTAGTTTAGATAACGAACACTGCTGGTTTGTTTCTAGTGCAATCTAGGTACGCGATCATAAATGAATTCATGTATTATCATTTGACTCGGATGTCGTGAACTATCCTGTTGAACTACAACGTGCTTGTTGTGAATTCTGTGATTGGCCTCAAAACTGATCTTTAGAAATGTATGTGTGTATAAAATGATTAGATGACAGAGTGAAAAATAAAATCAAATGTACCAGAAGCTTTAAATGTGAAAAGTAAATTTCCCTCTGACTCCTGTTTCCTCACTCTCGTTTCCCTTATACAGAGAAACTCACTATTAAGTTTTAAGCAGACATATTCATTCAACGCATATACGAGCCTACGTGTGTGCGTTTCATATAGCTATGTTTCCTTAATTACTGCATTAAAAACTAGCATGATGTACACAATGTTTCACAATTTGTTCCTTTTACTTAATGATACCTCTTAGAGACCTTTTGCATGTCAGCATCTGCAATCTCCCCTACCTTTTATTATTTATTTATTTATGTAAAGTAAGATCGACACCCTACGTGGGTAGTCAACTCACAACTGTGAGACCAAGAGTCACATGCTCTCCTGATGCCCCTCTCATACATTTTTAAACAACTGCTTAGTATTTTGTTGAGTGGATACAATCCTTTTGTATTTAAACAGCCACATTTTGATGGGTATTTGCTATTTCTAATATTTTATGACCAACAATGCTTTGGTGAACACCATTGTGTGTAATTATTTGTGTCACGTGTAGTAGAATCTTTACGATTTATTCTTGGCAGAATTCTTGGCCAGCGGATATATTCAGTTTTTAGGTAAACAGGTATTGCCTCTTCCAAAGAGGCTGTACAGTTTTCCCAGTCGTGTAAGAGAGGAATTGTCTCCCCACAGCTACCTCTCTTTATTCTATTATGGACTTTTGCAACTTGCCATTCTGATTATTATTGTAAGCAATATTTATCTAACTATGAATGTGGTTAAGCATCTTAAAAATAGTTTGCTACATTCTTTCCACTAACCACTCAGTTCTTCATCATTTCCTGAATAATGTCTGTTACTCACTGGTTTGAAATGGCAGCTGTTTATTTGAAATGGCATCGTTGTTTATTTTAATAGTTTCTGAAATCTATTCTATTGTTTATTGTTTATTTATCTATTTAGAGAGAGAGGGAGAGAGAGAGCAGGGAAGGAGCAGAGAAAGGGAGAGAATCTTAAGCAAGCTCCATGATGTCAGCACAGAGCCAGATGCGGGGCTTAATCTCTAGAACCCTGAGATCATATCCTCATCCAAAACCAAGAGTCAGACGTTTAACGGTCTGAGGCACCCATGTACCCCTGTGAAATACATCTTATTGTTTCCATGCATCAGTACCAATTTTTGTAAATTTCTATATTTTTCTAATAAGTCTTAATATAAAGTAACTATGCCTCCTTATTCTTTTTCAGAACTTTCCTAGATATTTTTACAAAGTTTTAATTTTTTTGTGGTTGTATTGAGTTGTTTTATTAAAATAAACATTGAAAGATACGCTGCTTAAAAGTAGAGTAGGATCATTATGAGACAAGGAAATCTTATGCCCAAGGTTGGGTTAGACCTGGGACTGACAATGATATGCAGAAAAAGAGGAGCAAAAAGATCAACAAAAGGAAGAAAACTAAATAAACATCCCAGGTACCGGGTATACAACCCAGAAATGCCCTGGAATAAAACATGCTCTTGAATGTCCCGAGCTAGTTAAGCAGCCAGCTGGTTTTGCAGGTCAGCGTGTATAACCCTGGCTTCTGAGGGCTTGACAAACACTAGCAGGGTTCTGACCTTACACTGAAATTCCTTGAACTCTGTGTACCTGTGCGCATGCACCCAGCATGCCTGCCCCTGCGTGCATGTTACCAGTCACAAGGAGCATCATTAATGAGTGCTCCGGTGGGAAGCGTAACTTAGAGACTAACAAGTTCTAGGGAAAGAGGGAGATCGACACAGACAGCCACCAGACTCGAGCAGAGCAGCTTGTTCTTTAAGTATGGTGAGATCCAGACCTTTTAGTTTTACATCAGTCATCTCAAAAACGGGAACCTCATGTTTGCCGCTATTCCAGGTAACTATCTCTCTTTCCGGGAAAAGATTTTCAGAGGTACTATAAGAATCTGATTATTATAGATTTGTTCTTCGGGCACCTTAACTACTCTTACATTTAAAAGATTCCCTTTAAGAAAGTGTTTCCAGCATCTTATGACTTATTCTATTTACTGGTCAGAGATACAGAAAACCGAATGGTCCGTGACATTAGTCTTTCTTCTGTATCTGTTCTGTTGCTATTGAAGTAATATGATGCAAGTGAATCTTTGCTTAACTTTGCTAGGCTGTGAACTCTTTTAAATAAAAAACGTTATCGATTTCTCAAAATGCTGTGGCAGGATTCATTTTAAGACATGTTTACTGCTGCCTGCAACCTGTACTTAAGGCTTGACCATTTGTCAGTGCTGAACAATGTATACCAAACCATCTCAGAGTTTATTTTGGTGCCTCTGCTCTAGCATCTCATTGAGACTAATACCTGCATCTCTGTATCTGTGTTACTTGAACGCAAGGTATCTGAAAGATTTAGGTCTGAAATACATGAGGACTTTGCTCGCCATTTCATGACGACCCCAAAGCCTGATAGCTAATGCACTGGCAGTGAGGTGCTAGTAATATAAGACTGTGGACTCCTTGCTAGGTAGGCTACAGCACCCCAGAAGTCTAGGAAGTGACTTGAAATTGAAATGCAGGCTTTATTTGTTTATCTGTTAAGCTGGATCCCAAATGATTTTATGGGCTCATAAATAAACTTTCCTTATGAACAAAATTTGAATGTTCATTTTCCTCTCAGTTAGTATGCAAATCTATTTGCAGCATTTCTAGCAAAAGAGAGTGCAACTCATTTTCTGTGCTTATAAATTGTTCATTACCATGCTCTCTGATGGCCAATTCATCTGCAACTCCACAAATCTCTTTGCCCAGATAAACTTGGTGGAGTAAATATAAGGTGCTAAAGAGGATGCATTCGGGATTAAAGGGAAAAAAGACATATCTCGCAAAAATTCCCAAGGCTATCATTTTAAATTTTGTAACTTCATACCTGCACTTTTTGTTTGTATGGGATAGTCCAGGAAAATAAATACTTCACTGATCACATTAACCCGAGTTTTAGGACTACATATAAATGACATGTAAAGATTTTCTGGGAAGAGTCTCAGTTCAAGGGAAAAAACAAATCTACAAGCAAAACCTTCAGGAAGGAGTACTTTCTTTCCTCTGTGATGTGAGTTATTGTAACCTGCAAGGCTCAACACAGAGAACTAAGATGGAAAAGCCTATGGTTTGGATCCTTTAAAACAAAGCAATCAAGGTTATTACTTTTTCTCTCTTCTTTGATAAAGAGAGAAAAGTAAATCTCAGCCTGAATGTCATGTAATTTTAAATCGACCTTCCCCTTAGAGCTAGTTAAAGTCACTCCTTCATGCATATATTTAACACCCATTAATGCTAATGCAATGGACTTCTGTTTTCATGTAGGGAACTTGATTTCTTTGTGTGAAAATAATACTCACAAATAATGAACTTCCTTCCTCTGGCTAAAATGTGAAAGCAAGGAAAAAAATGCAAGGTGCAAAAAAGGTCTTTAGAGCAGGCCAAATCTGCCTAGGGAACAAACAAAAGACCTTTTCACATCCATCTATATGGGTGCGGCTGCGTAGGATAGGAAGCTGGCTCACAATATGTATCTTCTGTCACTGCGGAGCTAGAGAACCTACCCAGAGATTTTCTTTTTTTCAATTAAAATTCTGTGCACCAATAATAGACTCTGCAACAGAGCTTTTAATTAAAAAAACAAACGAAATGATATAAACCCACATTGTCTCTAAGCGCTGTTTGTATTAAAGGATTAGACTAATGAGAAGTTCGGATTTTATTGTTCTACACATGTGTTTCAGTTGGTGCTCTCGGACCCACCATGTGAAGAAAAGGAAATGTAAGTAAATAGCAAGAGGCTCCATGTTTTTATTTAGCATTTTCAAAATTCAAAGAATAAATAAGGCTCAAGTCATTTGAGAAGCCCCAAATGAGTTTCAAATGATGATTATAATCATGCGAGAAAATAAGAGTAAGTTGTTTTTAAATGCAAATAGCTCAATTTTTCTAAGAGCAGGAAAAAAAGATGCACTTTCATTATGATTGGCTTTGTTAAATATGTGGGGCCTCATTGACTTCTAGGCAGTTTTGCTTCCTGCGGTCTCCACCATTGAGGTATCCAGGGTTCTTTAGGTTCATAGAAGAATCACAGCATCGTCTAAGGCTGTGTCCACACTCGTAAGTCACATTGATAGTGGTCTGCAGTTTTCTGGATATTCATTTTCAAAAATAAGCAAACTCACAAAAATTCTAACCTGTATTATGTGTATATTTCAAAGTGCTTTTGATATAAACTACATGAATAATTGACTCTATTTCCTCACTCTTTGTGCTATAGGCTTAATGATTCCCAGAGTTCTATTTGGGAAATGAGGAGAAGGTGCCATTAATAACACCACTGCTGATTAATGATAATTGCAATGCACTGTGACTTCGTGAAAATGTCAGGAAAGCATGTCTGCCAAGCACTGTCTTCTCCTGAGCGTAGCCCTCACTGCCAACTAACTGTTTTCAATTATCGTTGCCTGTTAGCCTCAAGGCCATGGTCTCAAGGCCTGGGCACTGCCTCTAAATTAAGAGGCCATGTTACGTGAATGCCTTCCTTGGCTGTGGAATGATTCAGTTGGTTTTGGTGGATCCTCTCATCATTGATAATATGCATGTTGAGTCTGTGCTATTCTTCCAGCTTTTGCATGGCTCTCCTTTGTTCGTTCCTTGCTGATTTTAGACTTTTTTTTCTGTCTTCTGGTGTTTGTGACATAATGGAGTTTCTGATGACTTACCAAACTCTGGACCTCCTGGCTGCCTTAACTTGCCCACTCATCTTCTGCCTTTGACCCAGAATAAGAGAATAAAGAAATTCATAATTGGAAAGGTTCATAAATGTTGAACCTAATTCTCCAATCAATATGATAGAAAAATACACTGTTGAGGAACCTGATAAGCTGCCTTCAGAGTCACTGAGGCTGTTGGTCTCCTTTTCAAATAAAGAAATTGAGACTCAAAGAGAGATACAGCAAATGAATGCAGGGTTTCAATTAGTTCTTAAGTACAATTCTTTTTTTGGCTATCTCACTTTGCATGTAAATGTCTGTTGTATTTGTCGTTATAACACCAATGCTTTTGAATGGAAATAAATTTCCTACTTCAAGTAAAATGCAAGTTAGCAGAAAATGAAAAGAGAAGGCAAGAAAGTACCTGGTACTGTAGGTGGGATTAAGTAACTCTATGTATTGAAGATGCTCTCCCAAATCTTTCACCGCTACAGGAAAGTGTTTGAGAGATGATTAGTTCTATTTAAATCTGTTTTCAAACCCAAACTATTCTTTCTGATCTAACCTACTCTATTTATTATTATAATAGAAATTTTTTAGTATGAACAATACATTGCTATGCTGTCTTTGTATAAAATTTAAATACTGTAAGTATTTAGTATATAAAATAAACATGATAGAGCCTCCCATTACATAACTAATCCTTTCTCTTCCCAGAAATAAGCAAGTACAGTGACGTGCATATAAGTTTATAAATAGAGTAACTTACAAAACCTAAATATCATCTTACATATATAGGATTCTGTCAATCAATTGCATTAATAGATTGCATTAATTACATTAATAGATTAATATGTCACTATCTTACCTGGCTTGAGGAAGTTGAGTGTTTTGCTCAAGAGTAAGCAGGTAAAATGCAGAGCTTGGATTTGGACCCACATCTGACTCCTGAGTCCAGAATTTTATACAACTCTGTATATATATATATATACTAGTACATATATATATGTACTACTATACTACTATATATGTGTTATAATTTTGCACTACCAAGCCATATTGTATGTCTAATATTAAATGAAATGGTACACTGGGTGAAATACCTGAGGGATATATGGTTCACCTATTCTTCGAGATACTATACACTTACCTCCGATTAATTGGGTCAAGCCACCAGTCCCTGGGTGATATGATAGGGCATCCATCTCTCTCCCAGATTATTGTAGCTAAGTTGCACTTTTGCCTATGTTAAGGAATGATTTAAAAAAGAAAAGGATCCATGGAATTTGTTACTGCATTTATTCTAAGAGCATATGAAAAACATTGCTCCTATTGCCAACAGTATCCTCTTCATAAAGCCCCCTAGTTTGAATTCTCCTCTGGTGTCTACTCCAGGAATAGTTGTACATCTGGTGAGTAATGCTGCATGATTTTGTTAATTTTAGAGGACGCCATATAACCAGTTCTCCCTCTCATCCTATTCACGGCTAGAAAGGTTAAGCCAGATCTCGAGTTGGGTTCTAATTTTACAAACTACATTCAGTTTTTAAAATGATCTCACTCTTGGCTTATTCTCTTTGTATGATACCTTCCATGCTCTCATTTCTATTACTTTTTTCTTCTATTTTTAATATTTTTAAAACATGCTGGAGCACAGGATATTGAATGCATTCAGGCAGTACTCCACATAGTAATGTGAGGCCAGAACTGGCTTTTACTGGTCCCAGTGGGGGAGCTGCATGGTGGTAAGAGACACCAACTCCACTGTTAGACCCTGAGGGTGCACTTGCAGCTCTGTTATCTTGGGCAAGCTACTTAATGTCTCCATGACTGAATTTTCTCAATTGTAAAATGAGGATTGTAATCTTGTGACCTTACCCAATAACACTGTAAATTTGAAAGCGATTTTCAAATAAAATAAATTTAATTTAATTCCCCTCAAGTTATGTAACTGGTTTAGAAGAACGCCTGGCACGGGAATTTCTGGGCAATTCTAGCAAAGGAGCCAACAGAGTGACTCTGCAGTTTTCTTCCTGAATTTATCAAATTAATGAAATGGTAGTTACTCTTTGGTCCACAGAATCTCAGCACTGAGAAGGATAATAAAGATTCATAAGTCTAATCATCCCTGTAGTGGAAGAATCATCTCCACAATGCCCAAGGAAAGTAGAGCAATAGCCTTCAAGTAGTGTCAGAAATGATCTCCTTCAGCAACTGCTTCCAGAGAATTCTGATTATCGGGAACGTCGTCCTTAAGTATCATAGTCGGTTCTGATTTCTCCTGATGGTTTTTCATTTTTGGCATCATCCCAGTTTGACCAATCATATATAAATCTCCGAAGAGTAACTTTGCTTTTTAAAAATGTAACTATTCCTTCACTGAATATCTTGCATCTAAAATTTGAGTAATTAGAACATTGTTACAGTTTATTGGATTTTTTTTTTAAGAATTAAGAAGAATCTGTTTAAAAGGCATCCTGCTGGCTATCCCAGGGTCATGAGTTAAAGCCCCATGTTGAGCTGGAGCCTACTTAAAATGAAAAAGATTTTAAAAAGAAAAAAAGAATTTAAAAAATCTGTTTAGAAATTGACCTTGAGAAAAACATGGAAAGACTGGTGAGGTAGGAGGAAAGCACACAGAGTCAGGAGAGCTGTAATCTGGTTTGAATTCTTCAGCTTTGGGGCACCTGAGTGGCTCAGTCAGTTGAGTGTCTGACTTTGGTTCAGAAGTCACAGTTCATGGGTTTAAGCCCTGTATCAGGCTCATCAGGCTCTATGCTGACCGCCCAGAGCTTGGAGCCTCCTTCGGATTCTATGTCTCCCCCCCCCCCCCCCCCGCCCCCAGGCCCTCTCTCTGCCCTTCCCCTGCTCATGCTCTATCTCTCTCTTTCTCTCAAAAATAAGTAAACATCCAAAAAATTATAAACAAATAAATGAATTCATTCTTGGGCCAGCTAGTGACCTCCCCACTGACTTTCCTACTCTGGGTTTTTGTTGTAGAGTGTGTAAAATCCTAAGAGTGAAAGAGATGATCCCAAAGATGCCTGCACTTCTGAAATTATATGATCACCTTGCAATTGTCCAGCTAACTGGTTTTTGGACATTGTATTTAGTGCATATCAGAAACTCCACCAATGGGTGCACAGGATCAGAAAGAGAAAGTGAAATAGGTCAATTTGGATAATAGCTATCACTGGAAATAAATATTGAGTGGCTCAAAAATTAGATCTGAGAAACAAATTGAGGGAGTTTATCTTTAGGATTGACATTGTGATGAGGATATGGTCCTTTTTTACATATACAGAGGGTGAGCAGAGATATAATGGAGAAAGATGAACCAATCTATACTTCTGATCGTACACTTAGATTTTAAGATTCCAAACCAGGAACCTCTTCTCTTTTATTGGGCTGGGACACAAGAGAATTCCCCCACATCCATCTAAAATGAGATACTACATGTTAAAGATTTATATATTTTTAAGATAATATTTAAAATTGTATGGCTATAAAAGTAATACATTGTACATTCAAACAGTATGGAAATATGGAAAAGATAAAGTGCCTCATGATACCATCTGCAAGAGAAGGAAGCATTGTTAGTAATTTGGTGTATATGAGTATACAATTATATAATACCTATTTAGCGAAATATTGTATTTGTGTAAAAGAAAATATACAAAGAGAATTGAGCCCCCTATATCATTTTACTTCACAAGGCTTTTATTTTTTTTAATATTTTATTTATTTCTGAGAGAGAGAGAGAGAGAGCAGAGGAGGGTCAGAGAGAGAGGGAGATACAGAATCTGAAGCAGGCTCTAGGCTCTGAGCTAGCTGTCAGCACAGACCTGACATGGGGCTTGAACCCACGAACTGTGAGATCATGACCTGAGCTGAAGTCGGACGCTTAACCGACTGAGCCACCCAGGTGCCCTATGGCTTTTAATTATAAATATGAATCTACATCCTTTTTGATGACTGGATAACACTCTTTTATAAGGATATGGCATTAATATTTTTAAAATCTTTTACTGATGATTGCTTGTCTTAAGATGGTTTTTACAGTTATACCTCAGCTGCCATTTTTTTCCAACCATTTGTACCTGTGCCTTAAGGTGAACACGCACACACACTCACACAATCCAAAACACAAAAAATGAAAAAACTTGCTCTCAGGGTGATTAACTTTCCTATTAGATGTTTGGGGGAAAATTTTGATGTTGAGACTTCACAACTGTTAAAAAGTCACTTCTGACTAGTGTGATGGTAATCATGACACACGGCCTCCTTGGAGATTCTGGGAGCAATAAATTAGCTGACGGTTATGAGCGCTTTCAAGCTGAAAAGTACTGAGTGTTATTCTAACAAAGGCTGAAGTAGCCATGATTAAGTACAGTTCCGACTCAAGCTTATCGAGCTGTGATGGACAGGTTTCCACTGTTTAATCTCAGAATACTTTGACGATGGCCTGTGTATCAAAGTATGAAAAATTTCCATCACCAAATCTACATTCAGCCCACCATGCCTACCATAGTGGGATAGCACAGAGGTATCTACACCTGGGGAGTGAAATCCCCTGAAAATCACACCGTGAATTTCATTTTCATGTGATCTTTTTTTTTTTTTAATTTTTTTTTAATGTCTTATTTATTTCTAGGAGAGAGAGAGAGAGAGACAGCATGAGCAGGGGAGGGTCAGAGAGAGAGGGAGTGACAGACTGAAACAGGCTCCAGGCTCTGAGCTGGCAGTCAGCACAGAGCCCGACGCGGGGCTCGAACCCACGAACCGCGAGATCATGACCTAAGCGAAAGTCGGATGCTTAACCGACTAAGCCACCCAGGCGCCCCTCATGTGATCTTTTTAAACTTAGCTAAGAAGGGTGCCTGAGTGGCTCAGTGGGTTGGTTGAGCATCTGACTCTTGATTTCATTTCAGGTCATGATCCCAGGGTGGTGGGACCATACTCCATGATGAGCCCCACATAAGGTTTTGTGCTGAGAGTGGAGCCTACTTAAGACTCTCTCTCTGTCTCTCAGTCTCTCTCTCCCTCCATCTTTCCCTCTCTTTCATGCTCTCTCTCCCTCTTTAAAAAATAAAAATAAATAAACCTGTCCTGGAATGATTGAATTGTGCCTAGACACACAAATGATTTGTCCATCCTGATGGAAGAAATCAACTTCTCACTCCTTGGTAAACAGCACATGTACCACATTCATCCATTTTCTCCTTTTCCCAACTTCTTCCTCCAAGCAGGTTCTCAGCCTGCTACTTTTTACCAAGATATTAAAGGTGAACAGAAATTTTAAACCTTCCCTGTGAATCTGTATTTAAAAAAAAAAAAACCTCTAGGTCTCTGGATAAACAGAATGGTGGGATGATTATCCACCTAATATCTAATACCTCTGACATGGTAGGCCTGACTTTCTCAATACCCAACTCTGTGTGTAACTTGAGTATCAATCCTATTACAGTGCAATTACTTATGAATGTATCTGACACCTTCAGCTTCATATTTACTTCAGATAAATGTATTCTTTTTTTTTTTTAATTTATTTCTAGGCGAGAGAGAGAGAAAGAGAGACAGCGTGAGCAGGGGAGGGTCAGAGAGAGAGGGAGTCACAGACTGAAACAGGCTCCAGGCTCTGAGCTGGCAGTCAGCACAGAGCCCGACGCGGGGCTCGAACCCACGAACCGCGAGATCGTGACCTAAGCGAAAGTCGGACGCTTAACCGACTAAGCCACCCAGGCGCCCCTAGATAAATGTATTCTTAGACATTTGCTTAACTGTGCTGGGGGTAGGGAGTGGTACACAGTGAATACATGATTGTTCCAGGGAAACTGGTATGGCCAGAACAAATAACATGGTCCAAAAGAATACACTTTGGCCATCCAGAGGTCCAGCACTAACTATTTTTCTTCTACCACCAGGTGCATAAACTATAAAGATCAATACACAAATGGCTGGTATATCTGGTAAGGACATCCTCAATTTGTTATAAATTCTTGGTGTTGTATATACACTCTGTTTCCTAAATAATTGACATGGCACATGAAATCATACAGTTAAGGAAATTTTAGGGGTCATGTAATACACATGGAAACATCACTTTCAGGTTAGCGTCTACACTTTCAGGTTAGCGTCTACTGTTTACTTATGTACTTCCTGTGACAGGGAACCTAACAATTTTTAGGCATAATAGCTTGTTCCCAATTTAGAGACATTTAACAATAAAATAATTTTTTTCTTTCTCTTGAAATCTCCCTGAAACGACTCCTCTACCAATTTCAAAAATCTTGAAAATCCTCAAAATAAGACTGCTACCTTTTGCAAGCTAGTCCTTCAGAAATCTTAAGACAGTTGTTACAATTCTCTTAACTCATGACTTCTATATTTTCTAAACTAAAGTTGATCAGTTCTCTCTATTAGATGGTTAGTTCCTGTCTTGTCCACCTTTAAATCCCCAACCCCAACATCTAGAATCCGTTCAGTTGCTTAAATACTAGTTGAATGCATGGCTGGCTGGCTGAAAGAAAGGAATAATGAATGAATTAATTAAGGAACCAAGACACTGCCCCTTAGAGCACCCCTCCAATTTCCAGAGGAAATGATCATCACCACCTCGCCAGATCGACCACTGTGTGGCAGGGAACATTCCTGATTCAGTGAGAATGGATGAGGTGTGGCAAGATGGGGGGTGGGGGGGTGGGGGGGCGGAGGGGGGTTGCTTAAGGAATTTGGCCTCACAGGTTTCTTGCATCCTGTCTCCTAAAGCTCTTGCCCCCTATCCAGGAGGTAGCAGGAGCTCCTACTCACTCCTCCGCTACTTCTTCTTCTTCTGGCATCAGGTTCTTGTTGCTGATTTTCCTTGTGGCTCTTCTCTGTGGAGTAGTGTTCTTCTGCCTCCAGCGCTGGCTGAGGAGATCCCGAATTGATTCTCCAAGACGCACTATGGCTGTTTTTGCTGTTGGAGACTTGGACCCCGTTTATGGTGAGCTGTCTGCACACTTCTAGACTTCCTGTTTGAAACCCAATGGCTTGTGGTAAATTGAAAAACTAACCTCTGGAAAGCAGATTTGTGAACTGTGAACAAGTCTCCTTTGGAGACTCAAAGGAATTCAATGGCGAGAGAGTCTACATAAGATAACTTCAGAAGACGGGAGATCCCTACCCAAAATGTGTCTTGGGGTAATGACTCATAGTTGAACCTAAACATTTTGCTCAGTCAACACACAAAAGTGAAGAGAGATACAGGGCTTGTCACTCCAAGTGAGTGGGAGGGCTTAAGGTACAGAACTGCTTCTCTGAGTCCGATATGAGTCTAGACTGCTGTGTTCATAGTCTCATTACTAAGTTATCTATGCCTCAGTTATGTGCAATGACATTGACCACGTTTTCCAGATTATCTGCTACCAACGCACAGCCTGAAATACTTGGAATTGGCAGGTGGATGTCAGTATCCATATCTTTTGTCCCCAGACACACAGGCAGCACCCTGATCCTGCCTGCTTCTAACCCCCACCCCCAAAACCATGCCAAAATAGAAATGCTATTTTCTAGTATACATAAGAGTAAGGAATGGAGGAAATTCAAGTTTTTAGAGTTATTTGCAACTGCTAGACTTACCTATAAGTAACAAAACTACCACTTAACTGATTTCTGGGAGGTCGCAGATCATAGTTTATTTATTTACGTTAAGCATTGTTCTCAACCAGATCATCTATTGTGAAACTTTCCCTATAAGGTGCCATATTGTACACCATCCAATATGGTTGCCTCGAGAGGGCATGGTAGAGATTAACAGCTGCCCTTCGGGAACGTGGGCCCGCATAAGATTTTCAATACATGGAGCAGGGCACGCTCTAGTAAAATCAACAGCTAAATAAAAAGTGGGGTAAAAATGAGCTTACATGTTTTAATATCAAAACGTGGTACTCTAAGATTTAGTGATTATATGTACTATTGGCTTTTTAAAAAGTCATTATTTAACGGGAGAAACACATGTCAATTTGAGAAATGGTTATTTGGGGAAGAATAATTAAAGCCTCCGATGAAATAAAAATAATCTTTCTCTTAAAATCGAACACATTCTATTAAGCATAAGAGGAAATAGGGTCACTGACATTCTAATAAATTGTATTAGTCAAAGTGGTCAACATGGCCACTTTGGCCTATTTTTCTTTATTTAATTTGAGGTATTTAACAAATAAATGCATTTATGATTCTTCTAACCTGACTTCAGTTTCTAAAGAGGAGAATCCGCCCTGGTCTTCTTAGGCCTTTACTTACTAGGAAGAGGACTGTTTTCTAGACTGCCCTGAATCTTTAAAAACGTCTCCTCTTAATTGTAAGTAAGCTACCCAGTTATACTGTTATCATTTTTAAGGCGATTTATTTGACAGTTATATCCCCATTTATCTAACATGTTATATCTCCTGTGTGGTGGTTTACACATATGCTTTTGAATTTGCCTGAACTTGCCTGAACAGGTATGTCTGGGAGAGAAGGTGTTAAGCCAGATAGATTACTTCAATAATCTGTATGTTTTCATACCAAATACAGGGCATTAGAATCACATTCTCTATATTACTATATTACCCTGAAGTCATTACGGATAGGAAAAGAATATGCTTGGGAAGAATTTTTTTTTAAATATATAGTCACAGTTTATTTCACATCTACCAAGTGCTAGGCGCAAGATTGAGGCTTCTCAGATATTTCTAACTGCTAAATACCAACAATTTTCCTCTAATGATATTATATACTTTTCTCACTGTGCTGGATAAATATACCACATAGACCTTTGCTGCAAATCAACTAATAGACTTCAGGTTGTCCATAACTGAGGGAAAGGAGCCGGCAGAAATCTGGGCCGGGCATTCATGGCTCAGTCACCTCATCCCTTGTGCTAAGTACAGCCTGGTATCTCAAACCTCCAGATGTCTCCACTGAGTGACTCTTACTCTCTAGAATCCTCATTCCCTTTTTCATTCTCCTGGGTCCTCCTTAATCCCACCGCTACCTCACTGAATCTTATTTTGCTCAGGAAACAGTTAAACTCCCCCTCAGCTTAAGTTGTTTCATGAAACTCATTTTTGTTGCTTACCGTCTTAGGACCAGGGACTCAGTTGCCCATTTCTATTTATTTATTTATTTTCCCTTGCTTAGCTGGGTGTTAGGGTGTCCCACCCACCACACATCTTCCATCCTATCTCAGGGATGCTCAGAAACATTGTACAGCCAGTGAACAGCTATTCACACCATCTTTGATGTGGATGTGGTTCCCAGAGCTGTGCTTCCAGACATTCCTGTATCTCCTCTCTAAACCAAAACACAACAGTTGTTTGGGGCACCTGGGATATCAGATATTTATCTGACTCTCGATTTCAGCTCAGGTCATGATCCCTGAGCCACACGGTGCTCTCTCTCTCTCTGCCCCACCTCCGCTTGTGCTCTCTCTTTCCCTCTTTCTCTCTCTCTCAAAAAAAACATTACAACAGAATAATTTATGAGGTGGTGTTCGCTGTGATCTTTAGTGACATCTTCCTGACTAGCAATTGTTTTACAAATCCCAGGAAGTCAATAGTTTAAAGCATTCTGAAACCCAGACCCAGACTGGATTTCTTTTCCTCACTGGATCCCCATTACACTTTCATTTCCTCTGACAAATGATCCTTTCTATCCACTCTTTCTAGAAAAGGAGCTTTTCTCCAAAAGGGAAATGAGAGAACCACTCCAGGATCTTTTTTATGGCTACAGGGGAGGTCAGGGCCAAAGTCTCCACAGCACCCCACAGAGTCTGTGCTCACAGCTTCAAGGCGGGAGGAGAGGGAAGGGTCCAGTCCCTGCCAGATTCACACACCCATGCTGCTGGGTATGGGGCTGCACCTGAGTCTTCCTCACAGTCCCAGGTCAGAGGACAGGGGAATATGAGAACCCAGTTGGAAGATAACGGTGACGTGAAATATGAAATAAGGCTTCTGGATTCTGTGCCTCGCTTTGAGCACGAAGGGATACATAGCACATTCCTTCCTGAATACAGAATGTAGGAAATGGGTCATTCAAAACACTTTAATGGAGAGAACTAGATTTGCTCTATTAAACTTGGGTTTCTTCCTAGACCTTTATTTTATTTCTTCAAAAATTATCTCATGCTGTTGCCACTATTTGTTGAATATATGAGTTGAAACAGCTCTGCTCTTCTGACCCGTGGGTCCAAGGTTTGACTCTCAGGATCCCATGGAAGCTGCCCTCAACCGAAGAACCAAGAAGAGAATTTTGACAGAATATGGAAAGCTAGAGTAGACCGAATCTGAGTGCTGTTAAAATATGTACAATGGGAGATTTCTCTCCCTACCAATTCCACACAGTGTTATTATGGCTCAAGTTGTCAATTATCTTTTCTTAATGTTTACTTTTTTTTATTTTTGAGAGAGAGAGAGAGCATGAGCAGGGGAGGGGCAGAGAGAGAGGGAGACCCAGAATCTGAAGCAGGCTCCATTCTCTTAGCTGTCAGCACAGAGCCCGATGCAGTGCTCGAACCCACAAACCACAAGATCATGACATGAGCTGAATGAAGTTGGACACTTAATCAACTGAGCCACCCAAGTGCCTCATCAAGTTGTCAATTATCTCAATTAGAAATATACAAGAGAGAAAGGCAAACACACGGCTTGGGATCCTCAGAAACAGTGTGTACGGAAGGCCTTGCCAGCCCAGACAATCCTAATGCATGATAAGATTTCTGTCTGGGACTGGTCCTTGGGATCTCACGCAAACCCCAGGCCCCAGCTGCATCTCCTGGGCCCAGTAGTCATGTCCTCACAATCTTCTGCTGATCTGGTGCCCAATTGTCCCTGTCTTCCTTTCCCTCTCATGGGCTCTATGTTTTCATGTCCATAATATGTCACAATGAAGTTTTCTAGGCACCTTAAGGGGAGAAAGAATCCCTCTGATACCCCTTGGAGGATAAGGAGGAAAGGGTGGTACAGCTAGAGAAATAAGGAAGGAAGGAGGGGGACTAAAAGAAAATCAAGAGGATGAAGGGAAAAGGGAAAGATGAAGAGCAAGAGGGGAAGGAATCTATAGTTTGAGGTTGGAGAGATTTTGAGGACTGAAATTAACACCTACTTATTCTCTATAAGCCCTGAAGTCATGGTTTTGTTTTTGTTTTTGTTTTTGTTTCCTGCCTCAGTCCTACCTCCTCTTCCTGCACTCAGCCTCTGGGGTCTCCTAGACAGTCCCTTCCCCCATTATCACCCCCCCCCACCCCCGACTCATCTTCTGGATCCAATTTTCCCTTAGCATCCCTGCGATACCCTAGAGAGGACCTGTTCACTGCCCTATGCCTTCCTGAATGGGGTTGTCCATAAAGTGGTCTCTGAGACCTCTCTCCCCTTCTTTCAGTCATGAGACTCTAACAATTCTAGAATTAACTTAGCATCTGTGTTAGAGGCAAACATGATTTCTTGTTTCAATGTTGTCTTCTGGCCTTGCCTTACCTTACCTATTTTAATGATACTTTTAGGCTTATTATCTGAGAAGCCCACAGAAAACAAGAGATTTACAGGCTCTCTTCCTCCCCACCCCCAATGTATAAATGGAGAGAATGCACACTGGGCAACAGAAAGTGATTTTTTAAAAGAAGGTATACAAATTTTTAGTAAAGGTGGGAAAAGAAAATCATTAAAATTCTCCATAACCATCTGTATCCCAAGGTCAAGGACTGTGAGACAGGGTGAAGAGACAGAAAATACAAGTGACTTAAGAGAAAAATTTTGAATTTGTTAGTTTAATGGTTTTGCTTATTAAATCTGTATTTTAAAAAAATGGGAGACATTTTAAAGTCGATTGTAAACAGAAAGTGTTCTGTTAATTTACTGAAAATAATAAAAACAGGTTTTCACTGTAAATAAGATTTTGAAGCTGAATAAAACTCTTATTTATGAGAGAGCAGGACATTAAGGGTAATGAAAAGAAAAATGTTTGGGGTCTGATAGGTGAGGGAGGACTAAGGACTTGAGACAGCAAAAGCAATCAAGTGCTCATTAGAAAAGAAAATTTGAGAGCATAGAAGAGAGATCCCCACTGTTATTAACAGCATAGCAGAGAGATCCTCATCATTATTTAACTGAAATAATAAATTACTATAAAATCTATATTGACTGCTCTTCCATCCTCTGTGACTCAGAGCTGGGCCCTGTTAGCCCTAACAGGGTAGCAAACAGACCCCATGCCATTCCTGAGATGCCAGCAAGGTGAGCACTTAAAGTGACACTTTTCCTTAGGCCACTCATCTTGGCTTAGCTCCTCTTGGGGGCTGATCTCCTCGATAATGCTGCCTTTCAGAGATCCAATCTTCCTGACCCCATTTCTTCTGCAGTTCAGAGATAATCTTCCCTTTTTCTTACTTCAAGGTAAATAGAATTACTAGTCTTTCAGCAGTGATTAAAGGGGAGGGTTCTGAATTGGGGAGGGGAAGGAGACCTGGACAGAGAGAGAAGAAGTACGCCCTTCCGTGCCAGCTCTTTTCTCCCCCAATTCTCCCGGATCCTTACTTATTTTAGGATGGTTTCTTTTTTTTTCTTAATGTTTATTTATTTTGAAAGACAGAGGGAGAGAGCAGGGGAAGGGCAGAGAGAGAGGCAGACAGTGGATCTGAAGCAGGCTCTGCACTGACAGCACAGATTTGCAGCTCAAAGTCATGAACCATAAGACCATGATCTGAGTCATAGTTGGACACTTAACTGACCCAAGAAGGTGCCCCTAAGATGGTTTCTGAAGTGTTATCTCTGTATACTTTATGGTCTCCATGTAAATATTCTGTGACTCATTTTAGTCAAGGAAAGAAGGAGCATTTCATTCACATGCTTTCTTTCCAGGGCATGATAGCAGTAACAGCTTACATTTATTGAGCATTTACCATGAGCCATGCTCTGTGCTAACATCTCTAGTCTTGTTTATTCTTCCCTACAACCTTACGAGGGGTCCACTATCATTCCCAATACTCTAAAGATGAGGGAAGCAAGACACTTAGAAATCAAGCCACACAGCTAGCTGATAGTAGAACAATGACTGAAATTCAGGCACTGTCAGTTACTCTCACAGAGGAGGAAGAAATGAGATACAGAAATGAAAAGAGAAGAAAGAGGTAGAAGGGGCAGGTTCAAATAAGGCAAGCCAATGGGCCCGATCTTAATGATGTGGGAAATCTGAACTCTAGCTATAAAAACTCAGCAGTGAGTATATTGGTTTTACAAAATTAAACAACAAACTCATACCTTCGCTGGCGGGTCCATAGAAAACTACAGGAGCTTTTCATTTTAACTGAGTTCTTCCCCGTTCTTAATTTGTCAAAAGATAAAAATTATGTCTGTTCACCGCCCCCTTCTTATGATACAGGTGTTCCCTGCTATCTGAAAGCAAGCCTTGTATAAGCCAAACAGACTTAAAGAAGCGATTACCATTAATTCATACAGAAAAATTTGTGAGTGTCTCCAGACCCCAAAAATAATATCTCTTTAGCTTTTCTGAGTTGTTAGAATGCATCTTGCTATCGGATGCACAAAGTCAGGATAAAGTACAGAGAGATGCTCAGAGACACACTTCAAAGCCATGGTGGCTTGATGTTGAGATACGGAGTGTAGCCCCAGGGAATGAACTGTGTGGGGCCACTTTCCTGCTCAGGTGCACACTGCGTATACAGTGGTGCACTGCAAAATAAATACTGAATATCATTCACTTTTCACCCTTTTTTTGGAAAAGCAAAGATCCTCCCTGAAATTCTTTTAGAGCAAAAAGCAGGTACTAATGGAGGTCTTTCGTAAAACAGAAGTAGGGTAAATGGAACATTCAAAAAGTGAATTGAAAACATTCAATACTTCTATAGCATGTAAACCTGCTTTGAAAAAAATTAAAAACTGATATATGTTTGGTTCAACAAAAGCTTTCTGAACACAATGACTGCGTTATGTTCATCAAATGAATGCCCTGTGGTTTTCATGACGGGCTTAAGAACAATGGCCAAATTTGTAGTAAGATGATAACATAAAACTTTCTACCACAGAGAGTAATTGTTAATATCCATTTGCCAGGAGCACGATATTGGTAATAGCAGCAGTAGAGATAAATTTGATCTGGTAATTGTGTCAAGTCAATCTGATCAACCACTCCAGGCAGAATGAGAGCTAAATGACCACTGACTTGGTACTGCATATACCAGGGGCAGTTCATCTCGGAAATGGACAGTGCTTAGCACCAGTACCCACAATGCAGGGAGGTGCTGGGGCAAATACACTTTGCCAATGCTAACTGTTTTATCAGGTGCCTCAGACTTACCTTACATCATTCTAAGTTTCCTAACTGCAAAAGGCTCTAACTCCACAAATTATTCTGTTTCATAATCTCTGTGCTATAATGTTGATAATGATAATGATTAAATATTTCACCATTAAAATAAGATAAATTATAAAATAATATTGTAAATAAAAGAAAATGCATGCATATTCCTAGCATATGGTAGAGTTCTTAATATACTACTACTACTAATGATAATTAGCTATTAATGGATAATTACTGTGTATCAGGTTTTGTCTTAAGCCCTCTAAATTCGTTAAGCCTTGCTTTTACAGACAAAGGTCGTTTTGTTGCATAGGAGAAAACTGACATACAGAAATGTTATGTAATAGCCTAAGAGTAGATTATTCAATTCAATAAATAATTCCTTCAGGAAAGTGCTGAACCAGGCTTCTATTCAAATTTCTCTACACTTCATAGATTTTATTAATATCTGAATTATTCTATTCTGCTCTCCCAACTAGTGAATACAAATACAAATATATGAACATTCATGGTTCCAAAATGTTCCATAAACATTGTGCACTCCAAGGTAAAGATTCTGAATAACCTGAGTTTGGATTCCAGTGATACAGCTATTGCCTAACATGTAACTATTCCTTAAACTGTTTTGATAATTGGGTCATTCTCTTTGGGATCCCCTTGGTGGTATCACATTTTAATCCTTCGAGAAGAGGTCAGCAAACTTTTTCCTGGTAAGGGCTAGATAGGAGACACATTTGGTTTTGCAGGCCACAGGTCTCCGTGGGCACTATTCATCTCTGCCATTGTGATGCAAAAAGGAACAATAGGTAAATGAATGACATGGCTGTGTTCCAATTAAACGTAATATATAAAAATGGCCAAAGAGCTAGATTTTTTTCAAGGGCCTATTTTTTCTTTAATGGTGAATTTAGAGTTGTTACTGAAATTTATAGTTGTTATTGTCTTGAAAAGAAGGAATCAAATCATTTCAAGACAGCCAAAGACCCTGGTTAATATATAAAGGGAAAGAGAGAGATGTGGTTATGAAATAATATTACTGTTGGTTGCTGTTGTAACTCAAAAACTGTAATAGTCTTTCAAGGGAATACTAATAGGAGATTTCCAGAAGAGGTACTGAAATAAGTTCGTCTCTCAAGGTGATCTGTTTGAGGAAGAAAATGCTTGTTTTTGATATTTTGTGGCGTCTAGTGTGCATCATTTAAAAGTTGAAATTTTGGGACGCCTGGGTGGCTCAGTCGGTTAAATGTCCAACTTGGACTCAGGTTATGATCTCAGGGTTCATGAGCTTGAGTCCCCCTTCTCCCCATCCCTCACCCCCATCCCCCATCAGGATCTGTGTCGACAGCTCAGAGCCTGGAGCCTGCTTCAGATTCTGTGCCTCCTACCCTCTCCCTCTCTGTCCCTTCCCTACTCGTGTCCTGTCTTCTCTCTCTAAAATAAAATAAACATAAAAAATTAAAATAAATAATAATAAAGTCAAAATTTTGATTTTGAAGCCTTTTTTAAAAATTTCGTAATGCTTTTTCTTTATTGTGTGTATGTACTTTAAGTGCAAACTTTGCACAAGTTAACATTTTTACTATTTGTCATAGAGAAATGTTTAATTACATTAGTTATAGTTTGCAGAGCATGCATATAAAATAATGAGGTTCAGACAATATATTTAAATATTTCTATTGAAATTTGCATTTACCATGAAGGAAACATTAGCTAAAATACCATTAGTATTTACAGGAATCTTATATCCGAATCTACCAAAAAGGGCATCCCTCCTACCTTCGGCTGCTAAACTGTAAATGCTTCTTGATGGGTTTGTCGATGATGATATAATCTGTTTATGAGAGCAAATTTTCTTGCGATAGTGACTAAACTATCACTGCAGAGAGCAAGATGGTTGTAATTTTTTTTTCTCGAGGGTACAAATAATTTTCTGTTGCTCCAGTGATCCAAGAAATGCCAGATTTTATTAGGCAGTTCATGTACTTCTGTTTTATGCTGACTAGAAAGATTACAGTTCCCTGTTTTTCTCTTTCCAGGGACAGACATGGCTGTGAATCCAACTGTTGGAATTCATCTTCAAACTCAAAACCCTGAATTGTACCCTCCCCCATGTTTTGGAACATTAGGGCCCCCACCTCCATATGAAGAAACTCTGAAATCAAGCCGATTTTAGCTCTGGATCACCAACTGGAAACATCAGAAATATTTTTTATTCGAAACCATCAAATTTAGGAACAATTTTTTTATTTAGTGGGAATTCCCAGAAATCAGTTAATATAGCCTGAAAAGGGACAAATAGGCAGAAGGATGAATGTAGAGAAACAATTTTGGTCAGGAAGATATTTCAGTAGTAACTTGGCGGACCCTTAGTGTTTTATTGCTGTGTTATATTTTGTGCTACCTGATCAAGTCAATGTACTCCATCAGGACTCAAATAGCCAGTGATTAAGAGATGGAGTGGGTCTTCATTAAGTTTGGAATTTTACTCTGAGTACACATCACAGATTTCCTAGCCTTATTATCTCTGTTCTAATCTGACCTCTCCCCTAGTATGGAATTAGTAAGAAACACCATAATTTCACAATGACCCAAGCAGATATTCAGACATCCCAGACCCAGACCAGAAAGAGAATATTTGAATTAGGGTAAAAGGCGACACTAGGGAACAAGGGACACTCAGAGTTGAAGGGTGAAGGATGAATGAAGAGGAAGATAAAAAGTCCAGTCCAAAGATTTGCCTGTCTCAGCCTGAGAAAAGAGAGAGTGTAGATAGAAGCTGAAGGACTCTACCTAAGCTGTGGGGCATATGTAATAGCACAGTGTAGAGACAGAGAAACCTCCCATTTTGTATGAGTGGATATAGACTCTAAAGCCTCCAGTCTTTCTCTGGTGTCTGGAGACCATTTGGCATTTCTTGCGGAACTATGTGAAGAAACTTTGGCATAGATATCAATGTTCTCATTTAGAACCCTGACCACAGAAGTAGCGATGGGACATTTTCAACTGGCATTTTTGGGGTGGCCATGAACAAGGCGGGGGTGGGGGCAGAAAAAATCTGTGGCAGATGCCTGACCATCATCAGCTGACATATTTGTCAGACAAACAATCGATATCTCCACTTACTCATCTAATATACCCCTTAAATCTAACTTGACCAAATTTATTTCCTAATCTTTTCCCAAATTTGTTTATCCAAACTTCCTTCTTCTCAACTAATGGTAACAGCAAATACCCAGTTGCTCAGACCAAAGAACTTGGAGTCATTCTTGAGTCTTCCCTTTGTATCATTTCCTATATCCATGTTGAGAGAAAATGCCTTGACTCTTGGGTCACTTGGGTGGCTCTGTCAGTTAAGGGAATGCCTCTTGACATTGACCTAGGTCATGATCTCACGGTTCATGAGTTTGAGCCCCGCATCAGAGCCTACTTGGAATCCTCTCTCCTCTCTCTGAGAGTCAGTCCCTACCAGTTCTTGCCTGGATGACTGTAATAGCATCTCAATTGGTCCTTTAGCTCCCAGACTCTTCTTCTATTTCCAACATGGTAGTTAGAGTAATCTTTACAGGACATAAAGAGGATTATGCCCCTTAACTAAACTCCAACGATGGGGGGCCTGGGTAGCACAGTCAGTTGGGCATCCGACTTCGACTCAGGTCATGATCTCACAGTTCTTGGGTTTGGGCCCTGCATCGGGCTCTGTGCTGACAGCTCAGAGCCTGGAGGCTGTTTCAGATTCTGTGTCTCCCTCTCTCTCTGACCCTCCCCTGCTCATGCTCTGTCTCTCTTTCTCAGAAATCAATGAAGACATTAAAAAAATGTATAAACTCCAATGACCCTCTACCTCACTCAGAGAGAATGCCAAAGTCCTTGTCCCATGGCCCTGTAGGATCAATACCCTGCTTGGGCTCCATTCCTATAAGTTGCGCCCTTCCTCATTTGCCCCAGGGACACCGTTATCAGACCTATGAGGTGCAAACCTTCCTGCATCTTTCTGTTAGGGACCCTGACACTCGCTGTTTCTTTTGCCTGCAATACTCTTCCCCCAGATACCAAGATGGTTCATCCTTTTACTTCCTCTATGTCTTCGTCCCAATGTCACCTTCTTTATGAAGCCCACCCTGATTATTCTACTTTTTTTCATAATTTAAAGTTTTTCTTAAGTTTATTTATTTTGAGAGAAAGAGAGACAGAGACAGAGAGCAGGGAGGAGCAGAGAGAGAGGGAGGTAGAGAGAATCAGAAATAGGATCCCCACTGTCAGCACAGAGCCAGATGTGGGGCCTGAACCCAGTAACCGCAAGATCATGACCTGAGTCAAAGTCAAGAGTCAGGTGATTAACCGACTGAACCACCCAGGTGCCCCTGATTACTCTAAATTGCAACCTTTCCCAACGGGTACTTCCGGCTCTTTGTCTCAGATATACTTTTCCCAAAGCATTTTTCATCTACTCTACTACAGATTTGAATTCTATTTATAATCTGTATTCATCTTCCCTTGATAGAAAGTAAATCCACATGGAAGGGACTTTTGCATTATTCAGTCATCTTTATCCGAGGGTCTAAAGGAGTCTGGTACTTAGCATGTATTCAAACACATTTTGTAAGCAATGTTACCTAGTTCTGGAAAGTCCCAAAAATAACAGGATGAGATTTGATGGGAACAAGTCTTTATGACTGTGAATGTGGGTAAGAGCCAGAGACGGCTGGCTTAGTGCTGCTAAAATAATCTCATTAGTATCTGCTGATGAAAGAAGCCCAGAGAAACCTGTGTTAATGTACTCTAATAATCCCAGGTAGGTATGCAGGGTTTAAGGGTTTAAGCTGTACACTGCTTTCAGATTTTATTCTCATGATAATTTTGTGACTGAGCTATTCCTAACTTCAAGGTATACATGGTAGGCTGAATACATCCACTCCCTTCTGAAATCCACTGAGATTACAGTAAAAGAGCAAAAATGTTTTTAATTCACAAGAACAAAGAGAATGGCAAGAAGATGACAAAGAAGATGAACTACGAGATTTTAGTACCAGGAAAGATGTCTGAGATGGATACAGATGAAGACATCATAATTCACTGAGGTTTCAAGTTTATCCACTTTGCTAAGTGTCTTCAGGGAAGAAACTGAGAATAATGAAGCAAATTCACTCTGTAACAATGTAGAAGTGCCCAAGAATAAGAGGTAAGAGAGGTGAAGAGAATTCTGGAAATTATCATGAACATGATCTACAGGAAGATAATATTAAGCAACCCATAGAAGAGCCAGTTCCCGTCAGAACATGACAGCAAATAGTGTAGGATGATAAGAGGGATGATAAAGGAAAAAATACGTAATGAAAATGTGGTGGTAAATTAATGATTGGTAAATGGAAAGTGAAGGAACTGAAAAGACAAGGCAATTATAAATCCATGAAAAACAGAGGTTGAATTAACCCCTCAGCCCCCAAAACGGTTAAGCTATGAATAATGTAAATAATTAATATTGAGCTTTACATTGGACATTAGTCATATCGACAAGCTAGGCAGAGGGGGAAGTGTGATTGAGGAAAGGTGGTAGGATTTAGTAAGAAAACTAAATCGTAGTCAGATGGTGGGAAGTCAGTGAATAATATCTAAAAGTAAAAGAAAGCAATGATGGTAAAGGTACATCATTTGGAAATTAGGTCATAAGTACCTAAAGCCAAACACTTAAACAAGTTGAAAATTACTGCCTTAAGAAATAGGATTGGAGAAGGGCTGGCTTTTACCATGAGCCTATGGTACTATTTGACTTTTAAAACTAAGTATGTGTGTTACTTTAATTCTCTCTCTATATGTAAATATAAATATATATCACTGCCTTCACTTAACGTATGTTAAGTGAAAATGTGGGTTCTGGAAGGGTAATTGACTTGCCCAAGACTCATAGCTAATTAGCATGGGAGACAATATTAGAGACTAGGCGCTTTGTTCTCTCAATTCCTATTCCAGGTATTCTTCCACAGTGATCCTCTGACTTCAAAAGTGACTACAAAAATAAACATCAGAGAAAGTGGGTTATATTTAAGTTTATCTCAAGTAACTAATGCTAGGGAGTTTTTGTTGATATCCTATGAGCTTCATATGTTAAACATCCAAGGTATAGAACAGGCAGGTGCTACACTGATACCTAGAAAAGTCTAAGCACATCTAGAAACAGGACTAATGATTCAGCATTTGGAGTTTGCCAAAGACATAAATGACAATACAGCTGACGTGATCGGAATTTATTTTTGTGACTTGAATTTATGTGTCATGGCAAGCACAACCAAAGTGCGTGCTTAGCATGTGGTTGTTTGGTTATCTCTTGTGGGGTAGGGAAGAAAATGTGGGGATAGGGTGTGGCCAGGCGACTAAGGCTGGTAGAAAAGGGGCTTGTTTCCATAAAAACTTTTTTGACAAAGATCTCTTATCAGAAAACACTACATTTTCACTTAATTCTAAAACCACATACTAAATGACTATTATATGTTAATTATTGTACAAAGTTCTGGATGTGTTTTTTTTTTACCAAACTTAGTATGAATTTTAATGATATTAGAGTTTCCACGTCGTTGCTCTGATCTCTAGTCAGAGACTTAGAACTTCTAGCAGATAGATGCTCTTTATGGTCCGCTGAAAACTACTGAGAATAATAAAACTAATTTGGATTGCATGATTCTCATAACATTTTAAAAAGAAATTTAAAATGATAAACCTGTGCTTTTTTCTCATTTCTGAAAATCTTGACTTGCATCTTAGTTCACCAATAAATTTTTAAAATTCTACTCATTTTATTCACTTATTTTTTAAATATAATTTCTTGTCAAGTTGGCTAACAAACTCAGCGTATACAGTGTGCTCTTGGTTTTGAGGGTAGATTCCCGTGATTCATCACTTACGTACAACACCCAGTGCCCATCCTGACAAGTGCCCTCCTCAATGCCCACTGAAAAATTCTATTTAACCTGGTGTCTCAGATTTTAATTCTTTTTAAAAACATTTTTAAGTTTATGTATTTATTTTTAATAGAGAGAGAGTGTGAGTGGAGCAGGGGCAGAGAGTGAGGGAGACAGAGGATCTGAAGCAGGCTCTGTGCTGACAGCTGAGAGCTTGATGTGGGGCTCAAACTCACAAACTGGGTGATACTGACCTGAGGCTGAAGGTAAACGCTTAACC